TCATCTTGGTTTCCTTCTCTCCCTGCCTCTCCTTCCCTCCTTTTTTTTTTTTTTTTTGCCTTTTATTTTCTTTCTTTCTTTCTTTCTTTCTTTCTTTCTTTCTTTCTTTCTTTCTTTCTTTCTTTCTCTTTCTTTCTTTTCTCTTTCTTTCTTTCTTCTTTCCTTTTTTTCTTTCTTCTTTCTTCTTTTTCCCTTCCCTTCCCTTCCCTTCCCTTCCCTTCCCTTCCTTCCTTTCTCCTGTCCAAATGTCAGAATATTGTTGCCCCATGATTTTCTCTCTCAATCTCAATCTCTTATTCTCACAGGAAAGTATCTGACTGGTTCAGTTTGAACTCCTGTCCAATAAGCCATTACAAGGGTAGCTTGAATCACATAATGAAACACAGCTGCCAAGACTGACAGATTCTTGCCAGGCAAAGGCAGGAGGAAGAGTGGCAGATTATTGTTGTCCACCATAGCTGCTTATTGATCCTTGGGTGTAACTAGGAAATACTAACCTTACACAGTTATGCACCAAGTAAGTTTCAGTCAATGAGAGACGACATACACAATGGTAGCCCCATCTGATTATAATGGAGCTGAAAAATTCCTCATCACCTGGGGATGTCTTGATAATCCTGACTCTGTGTAGGACTTGGGTAAATATGTGTTTGTGTCTTAGTTTTTAACAAAACCAGTTTTAAAATTAGAAGGAATAAATAGAAAAAGGCTTATAGATAAGGATATAATGAAAAAAATTTGTGTACATCTGTACAATGTCTTTGTTTTGAATAGTCATTACAAAAGGGTCAAAAATTTTTAAAAAAATACAAGTTTATAAAGTAAAAATGTTACAGGAAGGTAAGGCTAATTTATATTAAAAAAAAGAAAATGCTTTAAAAAAAAATTAGTTTAGCCTAAGTTTACAGTGTTTATAAAGTCTATAGTACCTACTCATTCACCCAAAGCAACTTCCAGTTCTGCCAGCTCCAATCATGGTAAGTGCCCTATACAGGTATTCTATTTTTTGTCTTTTATACCACATTTTGACAGTCATTTTTCTGTGTTTGCATATGTTTAGATACACAAATACTGACCATTGTGTTATAATTGTGTATAGTATTCAGTACAGTGGCATGCTGTAGGGGCTTATAGTCTAGAAGCAATAGGCTGTACCAAATAACCTAGGTGTATAACATCTAGGTTTGTGTCATTTCACTCTTTGATGTTTGCACAATGACAAAATCACCTAATCACGCATTTCTTAGAACATATCCTCATCATTAAGGGACATACGATTGTATTAAATTGATGTTATAGTGAAAACAATGTTATTTATTTTCAAATAAAGTGTTCTGTTTCTTGAAATTGACTTTCTAAAGACTCCATCATGTGAATTGTATCTTCACCTTCTCTGGACCCATATATACATAAACAATTTAAGAAGTTTTGTATTAATAATGTTGATATTGGCAATGCAAGCTTCAATGAACAGTGCCAGCTCTTCTTTTTTTACCAGCTGATGTAGTGCATTCTTGTCTGCAGTAAATGCATGAGAACACCGAGAAGAATTGATTACAGTAATAAATTCATTCAGGTTCCCAACCTCATTTGCAGAGACCCTGTAGTAAACACTGCTGGATATAGAAGGTCATGTGTGGGTTTTATATTGGTCTATTTAGCAATGTTGAATGAATTCCTCTCTCAATACCATATCTTCTGTAGTTTCTCTGAGGACTCCTTGGACAATTTAAACTTTTCCTTTAGCTCTGGTTACTATCTGATTACATGCCGATGGTAACCTAATGTATATGGTTATCTCCTAAATAACCACAGCTACACTATATTTTGGTATTCCTCTCTACTGCTATCATAAAAGTGAAAACTCAATCTGCCCTGCCTTCTTGACCCCACTCTCTGTGAGCTTATTTATTCTCTTGCTCTTCCAGGGCTGGTTGTCAGTATCATCTACTTGTTTAACCAAGCTATCAAATGTAGGGACCAGCAGCTCTGTTTCATATTCCTAGCCAACCACTTATCTGTGGTTTCCAAGTCCTATTGCGAGTTTACAAAATCCTTTGAATCTGTTTCACTTGGCCTCTGCCCTCTGCCTTGATTTATTCAAGACTTATTATTCTATCTTGGACTAATATAACCACATTTTAAATGTGTCTCTTGTCTTCCCCTTCTCCATTTGCTCTATTTTTACATTGCCACCAGAATTACTCTTGAAGGATGCTGCTATACACATACTGAGATGCTTAAAAATCTGCTTAAAACTTTTTTGAGGGTATCAAGAGAAGGAGAGAAGAAAAGAAAATTTCACAGTTTCCACTGTGAAAGGGTAATATTCAAAGTGCGTTTTAATATGCTCCTAACACAACTTTTCATTCTTATCTTTTGGCCACATATACTATGTTTGAACCAACCAGAAATTCTGGCCATGACACAAACATGTAATGCTCCCATTCTTTTTGAACGTAGTACTTAATACATTACATATTAATTATTTGTAAACTCTCACTTGAATTACTCAAGGACAGAGATGGTGTCTTTGTTCACCTTTGTACCCATCTTAGGGCCATACCTGGAATAGAACAGGTGTTGAGTAAATGTTGATTAAATTTAACTATGCTCATTCAACAAGGCTATATATTTATTTTTCAATTTGGAAGACGCTGCATATTGCAGGAATCGAAAATTTATCATAGGCCCTGATGATTCTCCTCCACTTGTGAAGCATCAGTAATAATTGTCTTGTGTTATGAAAATGTATTTGCTGAGAAATTCTGTGTCATGGATGATAGGCAGAAATTACAAAGCTGAGAAAAATTATAAAAGGCCAATGTCACCTCTTAACTCTAAGTTTCTTTTTTTCGTCCTTAAGTTTAGCCATTTGGATGTATTTAAATATATTTATATCATACTAATTTAGGTTTTGTCTAAGCCTTTTTTATAATTTAATGTTGCCTTTAAAGCTCAGTTTTTCTTGACAAGTTGAAAAACCCCATACATATGTAATAGGATGTTATATTTAGTATCACCCAAGGCAAAAGAAAGTAGATGCTTCATGTAAAAGTAAGACCACATTTCAGGGCTTGTAAAAAAGGAAATGGTAAGAATTTGGTTTTGCTACCTTGAAATGCCCACAAACTTTCGCCTATAAAAGAATCTGAAGGGCCAAGGAGCAAATGGAAATTGAGAGAATACTTCTGGAAAGTTGCAGATATTGATATATGTTCCATTTTCTTCCAAAGGTTTGGTATTATTAAAATATAATTACAATACTCAAAAACAAGATATTCTTTAAGTAGAGAATGTACATGTGACACAGTTTAATTCATTAAGGAAGGAATTATTAGAATGGTAAAGCTGGTTCAAAGAAAATTTGGTAGCTGACTGTATACAGGAATTGAGAGGAAGTATTAGTACGAGATTTCTAGGTTAGATACAAAACTGGTTAGAGCTGTATAGTGCAATAAAACCATTAGCTTTGAAAGTATTTTATTTAAAGGAAAGACATTATTTACATATCTAGATACAAATGATATGAAAAATGCAGGTGAAAAAATCTTCAAATAAACATATAACATTACACAGAGATTTTATCAACAGTTAATGATAAGAAAAGCAACACTTTAAAAAAAAATCATGTAATGCTCAGATTATTGTAAACAGTATTCTAGTGTGGCATTGAAGAGACTTGCCATTTTTGGCTTTACCTTATTTCTAAGTTTTGGATAATACTTGTTTACAGTCTCTGACCCTCATTTCAAGCTTGGTAAAATGATCATGTAAATCCATGCTTTTAATTTCTGCATTGCTGGTAATTTTTATCTCTTTAAATTGAATATCTCCAGTTCAGAAAACTTGTATTCAAACCTTGTCTTCACAGTGGCACAATGAAGCATGAGTTTGGAAAAACCCTCAGGAATACTGTGCTCTTGATATAGTTGTGGTAAACGGTGTGCAACATTGCTGGTGTGCCAGTTAAATGCATTTTACTTCAGTGGAGAGAATATCATCTTCCTAGAGCTGTAATTGTTTTGACATGTTTCATTTCATTTTGTCACTAATCATCATTCTGAAAGACAAGCACTTCATACTTTTTATTTTACTATGTGACTTAGCATAGGCTTAGTTTTTGTCTCTGTTTTGCCTTTTCATAACTGTGCATAAACTATTTTTCTAAATATAAAATAATGTTCTTTTAATGCTTTCAAAAAGTGCAAGAATATTTTATATATTATTTTTATAAGTTTAATTTTACTATGATGTAAGTAAATGCATTGTAAGAATAATTTTTTGAAGTAAAAGTTCTCTGTAGAAGTGATGAGAGGTTATTTGCAAAATAATCTTTACTGGGACATAATTGATGTGTGTTTACTGTTCTCTCTGGAATGTTTCTTGCTCTAATGGCCCATGTCTTTCTCTTTCCTTGCATTCAGATACTTCCCTGGCCATCTACCCTAAAATAGAACTCAATTATTTTCTATTTCTTTATCTGGCTTTAGTTTTCTTCATAGCAGCCGACATGTATTTATACTTGTTTAATGCCTTTCTGTTCCCGTTAAAATATATTTGAAAACAGGAGGAGCTTTGACGATTTCTTCACTGCAGTAATTTTGAGATCTACAAAATGGACTTTCAATAAATGCTTGTGGAATAAATAAGCGAATAGATCAGTGAATGAATGAAAGCTGAAAATATCTTTGGTAATTTGAAGAGCACACCTGTATGGGAAATAGTCTGCGTAAGAAAATCAGTGGTATCGCACATCCACTTGAAACTTGTTCTTGTATTAAAGGAAGGACTTGGTAAAGTTATACCATGAACATGATAATAGCAACCATCATAGCCATACCAGCACCACTGTTTCTTACTGTTTATTAAGCACTCAATATGGGCCTGACTTAGAGCTAAATACTTAATATTTATTGTTTCATTTATTCTTCCATACTACTTTACGTATGGACTAAGTGTACTGTTATCTCATTTAAGCAGTTAGACTCAGCTTTGTTACTTGCTCATGGTCACACAGCAAGTAAGTTGTGGCAGTACCGGCACTCAATCTCGAATCTGCCAGACTCCAAAACTCAGACTCGTAACCAGAAGACTACCATTGTCTTCTCTTGTCCATAGTGGTTATAATCTTATATAATTGAATACACCAAGTGAAATCATTAATTTTTTTAAATGGGTATTGGCGGACATAGTAATGTCAAAAGTAATGGTGCAAAGATTAGTACATAACTGTAATAGTTAGGATTGTTAGTCTGGTACCAAGATAGATGCAATGTGGTTAAGCATAGAAGCGTATACAGTGCAGTACCATCCATGCATCCTAATTGCAATATTTAAAATGGGAGAAAAAACCCAGCATATTTAGGAAGCCAAAGATAAATTCACTACAGGTGCAGCTTTGCTCAGAACAGAATAGTTGTGTTGAGAATTGTGGGTTAATTATGTGTGTGTGTGTGCGCGCGTGCGTGCACACATGTATTTGCTTTTGCTTTTTGTTTTATATATATTAGACTCCATGGGTCATGTATTTGGTACAAAGAAAAGAGAGTTCTGGACTTTTGAAGAGACCTGGATTCTCTATTGACTTTGCCCATGGTAGCCTTTGATAAATCATTTAAACATAGCATATATGTGGGAGTTCTGAAACTAAACTCCTTGAATTAATTTGTGGGTCTGCCATTTGTTAGCTTTGTAATTTTGGATTAAGATAGTCACATTTTTTGTGCCTTAATTTTTTTAGATTTAAAGTAGCTTGCTATGAGGAAGAATCAAATATGACATATAAGTCTCTCACTCGTGGTTGGAATATGACACTTGCTCAGGTTTAGCACATACCTAATCTCCAAGATCATCTCTGGCAGGCTTCCAGAGCCTGCTGAGTTTTTCCGCCCTTTCCTTCCTGTGATCGCCCCTTCCTCTCTCATTTCTCAGGCTCCTTTTCGCCCTCTGCCGGCGGACAGTGGCAGAACCCAGCTTTCTGGTTGCTATGGGTACCGAGGTAACGCGGTAACTAAGGAGACCAAGACGGAAACTCCCTGCAGCTATCCGCGGCCCGCCGGCGGTGGTGATGCGAGAGGCTGGGGTCTCCAGGTGGGTTGTCTGGCTGAGGGTGGATGAGGGAGAGGAGCGTCTCTGAGTCCGCCTAGCGGGCCGCAAGCCGGGGCTAGCTGGTGCAGTGAGCAAAGCGGGCAGCGCGGCTGGAAAGCGGAGGTGTTTCCTGAGCCCCTGCCATATGCTGACATAGCGCCAGGCCTGCAGGCAGCAGGACGGGGCCCTGGCCTCAGGAGTTGAAAGCCTTTGGTATACATCAAAGACTTCCCAGCCCAAGATGCTAATGGATAAATGAATCAAGAGTGAACCCCAGACAGGGGAACTTCATCAGTTGTACCCCTTCTGCAGCCCGACCCTTTCAAATACTAGCCCCTTTTATCCTTTGAAGTCATTTGCACCTTATGAAAAATTTGGCACCCTGAGAAACCATGTTTCATCCCCTCTTGTAGCCTTTAGTCTGCCTGCGCGTTCACATGCACCCACGTCCTTAAAGTTTACTCACAAGTAGACTATGGTGCGAGATGCCCAATTCCTGAAACATCTGAAGTTGTGGATGTTTATTTTTTTCTTCCCAAAATCAGCAGTAGAGAGACTCAGGTATATAAGGTTCAGTTATATATATTTTATAGCTTGACTTAAAATCTCAAGTTAGCAAAGCTCATTTAAAAAAATAGTAAAGTTGAAGCTACACAGGATTAAAGTTATACAAACTGTATGTTTATGCGAACGTAAAGACTCCCTCTGCCTTTCTCTAATTTAGCTTATCTTATAGTCTACACAGAGACCTGCCCTGACTTTCCATAATTTTACCAATTGTATTACAAATAAATTGTTTGAAAGTAGTTCCTTCATGTCTTTCAAGACACTTAATAATTCTTGCAATTAGTTTATTTGCTTTTTCATTTTTACCTACTTCCCTCACCAGAGTGTAAGTTCAGTGAAGACTGGTATTATACCTGTCTGGTTGACCTTGTTCCTCAGTGCTTAACCTGACTCCCGGCAGGAAGAGAGTTCAGTGTATATTTGTTGATTGCTCATCAAGATCGGTAGGAAACATTGAAAAAATAAAACAGACACGTTAGTTGAAGTGGGAAAGAGGGTGTGTTTAATCTTGTTCCATAGGGTAGGTTGTGCAAAAAACTAAAAGCAGTAGAAAAAAATTACTTGCTTAGCACATTATTATTGGCACTACATTATGTGTAGGGACTGTACTGATTGTTGGGGTTTCAAAGGTCAATGGTAGGACTACCCTCAAATATTTGGGCTACTTAGAGAAACAAAATCTATATAAACAAAGATGCAAAAAATAACACAAGGTAACATACAATAGCAAATGAATTTAATAGACATGGTCTTTGTATACGAGGAGAAGCTTGGTTTCGATGGAGGGAAACTGCATGATACAGGCGGCCTTCGAGTTGAGCATTGAATAGAATAAAACTTGGTGAGCAGAGAGGTAAACACTAAAGCTCATTAAGTAAAAAAGATGAAATCAGAGATGCTAAGGGTAAAGTAGAACCTTGATGCTCCATTTTCTTTTCTAGGTAGTTTCTAAGGCTGTTCCTTCTCTAGGTAGTTTCTAAGGCTGTTCCTTCTCTAGGTAGTTTCTAAGGCTACCCCTTTCCCTGAACCATGAGCTCTCTGGAGGTCTTATAGGAGCCCACAGCTAGATAAGTCAGGTCACAAATCAGATACCTTTTATTTAATATCCTGCAAATTAGAGGGGGAGAGTGTCCTTACCATTTTCTACGTGGATAAGCTGAAGTTCAGAGAATTTCTAGCGTGCAAAGGTCTTCTGACTTTAAATCCAGTGAATTTAGGATACCTAGGTTTTCTGACCTTAAATTCAACACCTTTTAATATTGCTTATTATTTTTAATTGAAAGTACTTTAAAATGGTATCTTGTCCCTTGATATCTAAAGGTAAAGTCTCTCAGTTGTTCTCAAGAGAACCTGCCTATAGAGGGTAAAAAATGGACGACTTGGGTACCATTTAGTGCCTTGAAGCAGTATTTTATTATCAGATATCTTGTTTGGCTGAAAGATTGAATGCAACCTGAAGTCAATACCTGTATTAGTCCGTTCTCACACTGCTATGACGACATACCCAAGACTGGGTAATTTACAAAGGAAAGAGGTTTAATTGACTCACAGTTCTGCAGGGCTAGGGAGGCCTCAGGAAACTTACACTCATGGCAGAAGGGAAAGCAAACACATCCTTCACATGGTGGCAGGAAAGAGAAGGATGACAGCTAAGTGAAGGGGGTTCTCGTGAGAACTTACTAAAAGAGCATGGGGGAAACTGCCCCCATGATTCAGTTATCTCCCGCCAGGGCCCTCCCACCATATGTGGGAATTATGGGGATTACAATTCAAGATGAGATTTGGGTGGGGACACAGCCAAACCATATCAATACCTGCTTTACTTTTAGAATTTTTGCTATGAGAATGTGGCACACATTTATTTAGTAGGACACTCCAGCACAAGATACTATTCTAGGAATCATGTATTATCAGTTCTTGCCTTATAATTTTTAAAATATTTTAAAATATATATACTTAAAATAACGATAATTAGATAGAGGAAATGTTAAAATTAAAATTCTTTTAATTATTAAAAGCAACTATTTTAAATTCTTATTTAACATTTCTTTCTTGGGTCTGTGATTTCTAAGTACTATGGTACTAAATGCCTAAACATGTTAGTTCACCCAAAGTTGCTTGCTAATTACACCCTTTCAAAATATTGCTTCAGTAAGGAAAAATCCCTACCTACGGTATGGTTTTTAAGTTTTGAGCCTAACATGATCTGTGTCATTAGAAGAATTAACTAACTTTAGATAAGTTTCCAATTACAAAAAGTGGCCCTTCTTGTAAACAGCGGTTTCCTAAACCTCCCTTTCTGCCAATGGTGTTCTCCTGCACCTCTAGCGGAATGCTCTGAGTTTCTAGCTGTATAGAGCGTTGTAAATTCCTTGTTTCCATTCTGTGGCAGTAGGTTTTGATGTGGGGGTTGCTTTCTCAAAATAGGAACACGTGTAGAAGGATCATCAAACCATCTTGGACAATTTTGGGTTATATTGGGTATTATGTGTGAGGAAAAATGGGGTTGTAGACAGAAAAATAATGTAGTCTAATCAGGAACTAGAAATTTTTCCAAATCACTACTAAATTTTTGGTATTTAGTTATAAAAAATTTGACCAAAAGACACAAGGAAGTATAAGTTTTGCATAATAAGGAGTTTATCTGTATTCCTCTGGTTTTATTAGGTGCTTAAAATTTTGTGCTTTACTATTCTTGCTGCTGACATTGTTATATCCTTGCTATCCCAAGAAAGGTGACTAAATTCTTTGTTGGCTTTACAAAAGGAAACAGGCAGAATAATATGACTCAGAATGATAATCTCCCCTTTTTCTTCATACAAGGAAATTGGCTTATGTAGGTGACTTGATAAAGTACATAATTGAGAAGAAGGCTTACTAATCGCATACAGTGAAGTGAAATTCCCCTCGAATAAGACCATTTATTGGTTAAATAACATTATAAGCAGAGCTACAAATCTCAGTCATCTTATTGTAATGAGATTTACAGATGTTTGTTCATTTTTTGTATCGGTAAAGTCAATCATATATCAGTTTAGCTTTATATATATACATACACATAAAATTATATTGTATATCTCAATGTGTAAGCAAAATTATAGCAATTTAGATTATTTTAATAATCAGACAGATTGACTTTGGGGATTATTTTATCTCTTTAATGATAATAATAGCATTATGGAAGTTTTTGTGACAAAGTTATCGATTGTAGGCAAGAGGCCAGTATTTGGATTCCCTGAATATGATCAGAAAGCAATACAGATTCCATGTTATGGATCAGGATTATTCCTGGAGGTTTTTGAAAGGTACCTTTGCTAGCTGCTATTTGATAAAAATGGGACAAAAATACTACCTACAAAAATGAGGGAGAAAAAGGGGATTACACTTGAAAATGCTATCACCTCCCTCCCAAAAAGCAAACCAAATCTTAGTTTTCCATTCCTATGGTATCTTTCTTTCTCTTTGACACTTAATTTAGCTTTGAGAGACAGGACTTGGTGGTTGAAAATTGAGTCTGAGTGAGACGCCTCCTATAGATTCTTCTATCAAAATGCCCTATGATATTGTGGTTGCTTGTGTGGATTTCCCCTTGATTGTGAAGGTCTCAAGGGAAGACACCATGTTATTTGCCACAGTGACTTCAATACCTGGGACCACTAATAGGGATCACGAAGGAACAGTTAAGTACATGTTTGTGGATTGAACGTACAAATATAATTAGTCCCATGATGCAACCACTACCTTATTTAAAATGTAGTAATTATTTTGTGTAATTCCATTTTGCAATTATCTTCAGAGAGTAAATTCCTAGAGAATTTCCTCCAAAATGGTGAAGATCTACCCTTTCAGGTTAGATTTAATTTTTGGAGATAGTCCAAGTAATTTGGAGGTAGGTTTGAGTGAAAAAAATAGTTGCTCCTGTTGCACAATCATTTTTAATTTCAAATGAGCCACAACAAAATGGATTTGTGTGTTTGTTGGTGATAATTCTTTTTTTTTTTTTTTTTGGAGACAGGGTCTCACTCTGCCACCCAGGCTGAAGAGTGCAGTGGTGTGCAATCTTGGCTCACTGTAACCTCGACCTCTCAGGTTCAAGTGATTCTCATGCCTCAGACTCCTGAGTAGCTGGGATTACAAGCATACACCACCACACCTGACTAATTTTTGTATTTTTAGTAGAGACGGGGTTTTGCCATGTTAGTTAGGCTGGTCCTGAACTCCTGACCTCAAGTCATCTGCCCACCTCAGCCTCCCAAAGTTCTGGGATTACAGGCATAAGCCACCGTGCCCAGATGTAAAATGGATTCTGTAGACAGTTTCAAAAGAGGTGTTGCAAAAATGTTTTTAATCAGTGGTTGCATCGTTGAAATATAAGATAGTCTCCCAAAGGAACAACAATGAAGAATCACTCATTTGGTTATGCAGACTTTGATGTCGCAATAGCCTTTTATTAGGTAACTCCAATTTTGGTGCTTTCCTTCCTTAAGTCTTAGAGCAAAGCTTCTAGACTTATGTTTTCCCTGCTGCATCCCTATTAGACTCTTATTAGCTACAGAATAAATTCCAAATGCTATAAACTTGACATTTAAAGCCACTTATTATTGGGCCTCAGCCACTATATCTAAATTCATGTTTATTTTTTTTCTTCCATGTAACCTGCACACCAAGCAAGTGTAACTATTCATTAGTTCCTTATTCAAGAGCTATTCTTTCCAACAGTATGGAATATTCATCTAATCCATATTTTTATCTTTAAGCCTCCTTTCTCCTTCAAAGCTTTACTTAAAAGCTAACCAGCTGAATTCTCTCTTTTCTTTCACTTCCTATATTATCACATGTATAAATTTTATAGCCCTTATATTTTTTACCTTGTTTTATGGCTTTTCTATTTAGGGTCGTATATGCCCTATTTTACTCTAAACCATTTGAGCTCAGAAAACAAACCTCCTTGGGCCTTGACTCCTCTCCATACCTCTCAGCACACTGCCTTGTATATAGCAGAAGCTTAATGCATGTTTATTGTGGTTATGAGGACACACATAGGAACAAATAAATAAATGACAACATCAAATGGTGTGGGCATTTAAGTCTATGGTCACTATAATATTGATTCATATTCCTTTAAAAGCTCTTAGAACTTGGAAATTTTTATTCCTATAAAAATCTAATAGTTGTTCATGTGACTTAGTAATTCAGTATTACAGAGTAAATTATTATAGAACCATGAATAATTGGGATACTTGGGAAACAGGGTGTTCTGAATAATGTAATTTTCTGGTTAACTCAAGTTAAGCAGAAAGTCCTTTTTGTTTCATTTCTTGTTGAAATATTCTTTCTAAAATATGCTAATTTCTGATTTTAGCCAAAGAGTATCATTAAAATTTTCTTTGATAAATGAGGATATTAGAATGCCTTTGGGTAATTATTACATACCTTAATTTTCATTTTATATTGCCATATATATATATATAAAGATTATTGGGTTTAGATTGTATCTCAAAGATTCTTTTCATTTCTCTCTGCATGGCCTTGGATATTATTTTTAGATAGAACAAATACTTGGTATACTTTTATAGCCTTAGCGATAGAAAGAGCCAGAATACGTGCTTTAGTTTGTTTTAATGAATGCATCCTCCACTTTTAGTTGAATATTTCCCTAGTCTTTCGTTATACAGTTGACCCTTGAACAACATAGGTTTGAACTGCACAGATCCACTTATAAATAATTTTAAAAAAATAATAGTTACACTCGTGTGCTTGTCCCTCTTGCTTCCCCTTCCATGTCCTCTATCTCTTCCATCTCTGCTACTCCTGAGACAAGACCAACTCCTCTTCTTCTTCGTCTTCCTCAGCCTACTCAGTGTGAAGCCCCCTATCATGATTCACTTCCACTTAATAAATAGTAAATACATTTTCTCTTCTTTATGATTTTCTCAATAACATTTTCTGTTATCTAACTTACTTTTTAAAAGAATATAGTATACACATACATATAACATACATAATGTATTCATTGATTATGCTATCAGTAAGGCTTCTGATGAACAATAGGCTAATACTAAAATTTTGGGGAAATTAGAAGTTATGCACAGATTTTTGGGGGATTGATGCCCCTAACCTTTATATGTTGAAGGGTCAGCTGTACATAAATATTGGTGAAATTTTAATTCCATCAGACATAATACATGTCTAACTTTATTAGTACATAAATACTTACATAACTTATATTTAAAATACAGTAATTTCTAGGTTTCCACAGGAGACTGGTTCCAGTAACACCCTCACACCTTGCAAACACCAAAATCTAAGAATGGTCAGGTTCCTTATATAAAATGGCATAGTATTTTCATATAGCCTACACATAACCTACTGTATACTTTAAATAAGTTCTTGCTTACTTATAATACTTAATAAAATATAAATAGTTGTACATTTTTTGTATTTTTTTATTCTAATATTTTTGATTCTTTGGTTGATACGTGGCTGCAGGGGACAAAGGGCTAACAGTGTATAATTTTTGCTGTTTAAACTTTGATTCAGCCTCTTCCCTCATAAAGTTTTAAAAACATTGCTGAACTATATGGAGTTTTGAATTTGTAACTTATACTGCTTCAACTCTGCCATAATTCTTTTGTCTTTGTTACTTTTACAGAAGTGTTTACAAATCAGAATAACTTTTAGACAACATTAAGGTGGTAATCATGAACACAAAAGATTTTGTAGTTCTTCCATGGGGAAAACCTGGAAATTCTGTAAAGCTAAAATATAGGTGAGTTAATATATATTTCTTAATAGGAATAGTTGCAAAGCTTCTGTATATTGTAATTTTGACTATTTTGTGAATTCTTATCTTCATTTTTCACATTCTTGTATTTTTATCTATAAGAATATAGCTTTGAAATACTATACATCTATAATAGTTTAAAAATGAGGATTAAAAACATTTATTCCACAAGAACCAATGTGACAAGTTATAAAAGTTTGGTTCATTACCTATTAAAGTAATGCAATAGAATGTTAAACATATTTTTCATGGCCCTTATTCAAAGTTAAGTAAGGATTATCCTGAAATTTAGGGAGACTATTGGGGTGAGAGACCCCTAACCAGGAATAGAAAGCACTGCATACTTTAGCCCTTTACATAAAGGACATTATGTTGAATTGACCTTTTCTAGGAGAGGTCTGTCCTAGATGACAGGGAGATGCATTTAGCCAGAGCCAAACAATTACTGGCATCCTGGGAATTTTATGACATTGCAGGGGTGTGGGAGAGTATAGCTCCCTGTTTGTCTATGATGTCACCTACAGTCACTGGAAATACTTAGGGCTTTCCTCTTAAATATCAGTAAGAGGCAGCCAGCATGGGATGAGGGCAGACTTTTTTTTTTTTTTTTTTTTTTTTTTAAGATGAAGTCTTGCTCCCTTGCCTAGGCTGGAGTGCACTGGCATGGTCTCGGCTCACTGCAACCTCCGCCTCCCTGGCTCAGGCGATTCTCCTGCCTCAGCCGCCCAAGTAGCTGGGATTACAGGCGCGTGCTACCACACCTGGCTAATGTTTGTATTTTTAATAGAGACAGTGCTTGGCCGTGTTGGCCAGGTTGGTTTACTCCTGACCTTAAGTAATCCTCCCACCTCTACCTCCCAAAGTGCTGGGATTACAAGTGTGAGCCACTGCACCCGGGCCAGACTACCATTCTTAATTTGAGTTTCTGAGTTTTTTGATCCAGATCAATAGCTTTGTGGTTATTTGATATCTTCAAAGCTATTCTAATGCTCTCTTCACCTTTGAGATACTGGGTATAAAAGCATTGTGTAAACTGGAAATGTTATAAAAATATATGGCATTATCATTATTACTATACCATATTTTTGGGGGGAGAGGTGCTATCTAATTGCTAGGACTACAAATTTTGTTAATAGAAAAAGTAAAAGGGGCATGCATTATTTGATTTCAGTGACATATTTCAGGCCATATGTCTATACCTATAAACATTCAGCCAACAAACATTTATTAAGTGTGCATTTTCTATATACTGTGCTAGGGAATGATGGCTACAAAAGCAAGAAGTGATAGTCCTGGTACTCCAAAAGCTTACAGAGAATATGAATGAGTACAGTTACATTGACAATACAGAATGAAGCATGGTGTGATGTGTACAGGCAAGGGACTAGGAGAGAACATGGCTGAAACTGCTAGAGCAGGAGCGAGGAAGTACCCAAGTTCTGAGTGAGAGATGCAGTTAGTTGGGTAGTTATTGGGTGAAACTTACGCAAAGGCACAGAGACCACATGATTTTGGGGACTTCTCAGACATATCCAATTGTCTAAGAAGAAAGGTGGAGAAAAAAGCAGGGTCTAGATGATAACTAACTTGTATGTCATAGTAAAGAGTTTGGAAATAAGTTGGAATCACTATTCCCTGGTCTGTCCATCTCCCTGATCCACAAACCATTAAAAGCCAGCACAGGAATACCCACTCATGGTAATTACCATAGAGTTCCCTTTCTCACTTTTTCCTTGTTCCAAGCCTGTTCTTGTTGGACATTGTCTTTATATTGTCTGACGTTCTGGTGTTCTTCCAGTCCTCTCGACCTCTTTCCCAGCCCCTAAACCATTTCAGTCCTCTTTCTAGTCCTTGGGTTTGTTCTGTTGATTAGAAATTATTTTCTAGTTTTCACACCATCTGTATTGACTCTAATATATTCAAATAGTTTGATGCATAATATTTAAAACAACAATTTTTTTTTCTATATAGGCAACATACATATTTTTGCTGAACTGATCATTTTGGAAATCTTAAAGAAATCTCTTAAACAATAAATTAAATAAATAAAGCTGAGGATCAACGTTAGCTTCCCTCAGTGGCCTTGCTTTCCCTTTATAACTGTGTGTATAACATTATCTCCATGTGGAATCCTCTGTTTTGTGTGAGATCCATACAATCCAATCTTGACCATAAACTTGACCACTTGGTCAGTAGGCCAGTCTTTTTCTTCACCCTTACCCTTTTCCTCTACCACAGTGGGACTTCAAAAACATGAGAAGTCTTCTAAGCAAATGAGTGACACAATCATATTTGTTCTTTCAACCCTTCTCCTGTAAGCAGTTTGTGAAGTATGGTAGACTGTCAAGACTTTAGGCAGGGAGATAAACTGTGAGACTCATCCTGAACTGTACCTGCAGCCCATTTCAGAATGGTCTGTTTCAGGAAAAGACACTATTGTCCTCCTGACAGCTCAAATAAGAAACATGGAATTATTTTAGATTTCTTCCTTTTTCCCTCTCTAATCAGTCACCTACTTCTGGTCAGTTTCCAACTTGTTAATTCTATTTTCTTACATTTCTCAAAAGCTCAATTTTTCTCTCCATTGCGCCTGCTCAGTCAGACTAGCCCAAATTCTCTATTAGTTGGATTACTGGAATAGTCTACTAATTGGTTGTCTTGCTTCCAGCGTTGTACCCTCTAATTGACTTCCTTTGATACAGCCTGAGTGATCTTTCTAAATGCAAGTCTGATCAATTCTCTTAAAACCCTTTAATGATCCTCATTGTTCATGCAATATAAATCCCAATTTCTCATCATGGCTTACAAGGCTCTTCATGATCCTGTCCACTTCAGCAGTTTGATTTTTTGCTACTTTTTGTATTCTGCACTTAATATCTGGTCACAGAGAACTTCCAGTTCCTTGACCCACCCATTACTCTTTCCTACCTGTGTCCACACTCCTTTCTTTCTGGAACACTACACTCATCACTGCCCTTTGACTGGCTAAGTCCTTTCATCCTTTAGGTCTCAGCTCATCCTTTACCTTCTCCAGGAACTGTTTCTGAATTCACAGGACTGGGGTATGTGCTCTTTCTTTGTGCCCAGGTAACCCCCTGTACTTCCGCAATGACAGCCCTATTCCACTATATTTCAATTACTTTCATGCTTCTCTATTCCTCTCAATACTTGAAGCTCCATTGTATTTCACATTCTATTACCTAGCAGTGTTTATTTGCCGTAGAAGCTGCATTACTCATTGTGGACTAGATACAATGAAAATAAACGCCTCTCTTTCTATATCTTAGCCAGTTTCTCTGAACCCTCTGGACAGCCCTTCCTATCACTTTCTGTATATCTTCCTGGATTGTGTCTGCTTGGCACATATCCTTGGCCCACTTGCTTTTTGGTAATTGCTTGCTACCTCTAGAAAGATTTCTCCTTTCTGAGCTTCATTATGCCTTGATTTTGTTCCATGCCATAGCATGCATGGGTGCCCACACTGCTTGATAGTAGTAAAACACTAATGTAATATTGAAGGAAGAGATTTGGACGTATAATAGTAAAAGCTAGAGAATTAGTTTGCTTAGATCTATGAAAGAAAGAGTCGGTGGCTAATACTGATAACCAGACTTCATAAAATGAAGAAAACGTCTATTGTCAAAAGCTTAGTGAGTTTCAGATATTATAAAAATCTCTTGTACAGAAATTCCTGTACCAAAACCATTAATCGGGGCTTTCTTCTTAATAGGTCTCAAACAGGTACTACCTTTTCCCCCTCATCATACATATATGAAATAAAGGTAGAGGTTTAAAATTTCGGAGATGACCAGCTCAGCAAAAATGTATATTTTGTCTATTGTTTTAAATACTATGCTTCAAACTACTTGACTACATTGGAGGCAAAACAATATGAAAATTAGAAAATATTTTTATTTTGTTTTCTGTTTGTATGTCATAGATATTTGTGTATATATAAAAACATGCCTTATATATGAAGTTAATTATAATTTTGAAACCCCTAGCAATGTAATAATTAAAACAAAAGTCTAAGATTTGAAGAGATAATTTGCCTCAGGATTTTGATGGAAGGCAAATGCTAACTTTAAAAACCAGATTTCAGAGTAGTACAAAAGAAATAGGTAAAATATTTTACTTATTATTCATGATTCTAATTTAATAGGAAAAGATTATATAAAATTATTTTGGCTTTGCTTGTTTTTCTGCTTACTCCATTTAAATCTTGTCTTCAGAAATGCTCAAGAACTGCGAATGGAGAAAGTACAGTTAGAGTTTGAGAACCAAGAGATGGAGAAGAAACTGCAAGAATTCCGATCCACAAGAAGCAAAGAAAAGGAAGAAAGAGAGTGGGTGAAACTCTTAGAGAATTTTAGATGAATCAACTAAATTATTTAAAGAACGATTTTATATACTGTTGTCATTCCAATAAAAGCATTTAATGGATGGATAATTTCTGACTTTAATGAACGAGCAATAGCAAAGGCCTTCTACTTTTTTGTTTTTGTGCCACTTAGATGAGGCATGTTGCTCTTTAAAATTACCATTACTTTTGTTTCTTCTGAACATTATTGGGTCTTATTTTTTCTTATTTCCTTTTTATTTAACTTTTTGCTTTTCATTGATTTATGGTCTGGAATGTTTACTACAGCAGTGCACACTTTACCTTTTGCTCTCAGAAAATTGCCATCAATAGCAAATAAACACCAGTTTATGTTTAGAGTCATTTTTATTTATTCAAAGGCTTTTGGGAGCAAGAGTTCACATATATATACATAATGAAGATCTGAAAAATAAATGCTATGATATATATATATATATATATATATAACTCAAACCCTTAAGTATATTTAAAATATTTTTAGCAAATGCTAGTTAGCTGAAATTTTATTAATGAAAACTTTCTAATATTGTGCTTATATATTTGTACTAATTTTACTGAATTTATTGTTTTCTTATAAAATAATATAAATGATAACAAACAGAACTAATAATTATGTGATGGAAATTCTCTCTTCTTAGTTCTAGGCTAACTCCCAGCCCATTTTCTAGCACCCGTTTTAATGACTAAAAATTTTCTCCACAAATGTCTTATCTTTGTATAAGTCTACATATATACGTGTATATGAATGTATTTTGTTTTCAGTGAGTATATCTGTTGAATATATTGTGTCTTTTACTTTTTTTTTACAGATGAGTTCATCTAAAAATATGGAAATTAATTCATATCCTACTATTTTACTTAATATATCTTAGTGCTCTTATCACATGAGAATGCCTTGATGTGATAAGAAAATTAGCCTAATTTTCTTAGTGGCTACATAGTATTTTTTGTGTGGATATAATAGCATTTATTTCTCAGATCTTTATTATGTTTTTAGTGTCTTATGATTATAAATGCTTCCGTGAACATGCTTCTTCATGTATTTTCACTTACATATGCAAAGCTATTTGTGGGATAAATTCCTACCTCCGTAATTTTAGGTCAATATGTTATTTGCATTTTACATTGTGATAGATATTGAGAAATTGTCTTCCAAATAGGTGTCAAAACTTTATAATCTTTCCCTACAGTGTATGAGAGTGCATGTTTCATGTCCGTTTGCTGGTACTAAATATCACCAAACTGTTTGTATATTAAATTAACTTTTGTTTAGTCCTTAAAGTGATGACCGTCAAATACCTAGAAGTACCTTCTTAACCTTTAATGACAATTCAAATGTGCTCATTATACTTTCAGTAGTATTTATCTTTAGAGTCCAATTCTTTGAAAAATATGCATAACTCATATACATAGCCCCTCTAATAATTAGAGCATTGGTTTAATCAGAGCATCTCATGTTGTATGTCATCCAGGATGACAAAGTTTATTATGTGTCTTGCTGCTTTTAATGATCTAGTGGCCAATTCTTTTACCTTCACTGATTCGAACTTTGTTTGGACTCCTAAATGGATCATGATACTCATCTGAGAATCAGAGTTGCTGAAATCAACCCTAATGAGTGAGTTTTTCTTAGCTGTGGAAGCTTTTCTAGACGATTCTTAACATTTTAAAGCATGACTGAGTTTTTACATTGTTTTCTGAGGTCACACAGATATTAAATAGCCAGAGTGAGAACCTGCCACTCACTAGCCAGGAAGACAATAGTGCTCCAATCTTAATTATTTATTCTGTGTGATGTTGAGCAACTGTTTTTCTTATTATTATTTTTAATGATAATTGGACTCTCTGGCTTGATAACTTCAAAAATATTTTGTTATGCTCAAGTAAATGTGCTTCAAAAACTGTACAGCTGAAGTATGCCTTCTTTGTAATCTCTGTTATGTTTCAATGTGGGAGATCATTAGAGGTTTTAACAAGGAATTCATCACTTACTAGATCCACTGAATATTTTGGGGTACTGGTTTGCTTACTTTTCTTCTTTACATTTGTGGACATTTAGCTTTTAAAATTGCATAAAGACCTGTAAAGTTTCCTATAAATTAAGAAAGCTATCTTTAGTCATTGTGAATATCAAGGAAATAGAATTCTTCATTTGTGTTTGTCTATTTCATTTTATTCATTTCTCCACAAAAGTCACAAATATGATAAAGCTATATTTTAAAATTATTGAGGATATTTTGACATTATTGATATTTCGTTTTCATTTTTTGCTTTTTTTTTTTTGCATGTTAACAACTGAATTTCCATTTCCTGAAACAGGAAAACTATATTTCTTTTCATTAAAGGGAGAAATATATTTAGTAATTACATTTTGTCTTATTTATATATATTAAAGGTCAAGCGAATATTACTGGAAATCTGGAAAAGTGGGCAAATTGGGTAATCAATCATATATGATGTCAAAAAATAAAGGAAATGTTATTAAGGTAAGAAGATACTATTTGATTCTTATGCATTCTGCTAAGCAAGAAGATATTCTGTTTTAGGTCTTGCATTTTCTTCTATACTCGGAATATGCTCTCCTTATTTTAACAACTTTGCATATTATTCAATTTTTGATTTGTTTTGTAGGGTAATATGCAACTTTCATTATTCAATTATGTTTTTGTTTTTCAGCTACAAACTGATTTCAAAATTTTACCTTGCAGTGAATTTGTCCATATTCCAAACTGAATTTTTCCATTCAGTGTGGATCTGGTTTAAAGTATATAAAATAGAACTCAATACTTCTAAACTAAGGTGAAAGCTAATGTTCTTTAATATAACAAATGAGAGACTTTATTCTTACTTTTATATCAAATTTGTTTAGTGTTTTATATTCTGCTTCAATACTAATTTATTATTCATATACTGTTGATTCCATGTGTAAATATACCCAAGGAAAAAAATGCTTTTCAGTTTCCCAGCTATAGAATTGCTGTTCCTTTACTGTATACTATAAAATATAATATTATATTGAAGATGAAAATCAGATAAGTGTTTTTACATAAAGAAAACAGTTTTGCTTCTGGATTCTTTAGTGCAAGATTCATGACTTGGTAAATATTAACTTACACAGCTTTTGTTTTTTATGTACCTATCATTAAACTTTCATTGGGTCAGTTGGAATCTACAAAGATCTTACTTGGCACTTCTAAAGTTTTTGGCTTTGAGAAAGCATTTTATTCTCTGGTGTCATCTATCTTAGGGAAAAATCAATTATAAAAGTTTTAACCCCCAAAATTAAAAAAACTTATCTCACTAGAAACAGACTATTTGTAAGACGATTAAAAGAATCTATAGGTCAGATGAAAGGAGGCTGAATTAAAAGGGTAGAACATATATAAAGAAAAATGTGGAACCATGAAAGAGAAAGAAAGGAGAAGAGGAAGTCAAACATATAATTGATATTACAGGCTGGATAGACTAAGAGACAGCATAAAGAAGGGACTCAGAAAAGTACAGGGTATACATTTAGGGTTTTGTTTGAATTTTCAAGAAAGTTGCAGTTAAAGGACTAAATGTACTCCCTAGGGATTTGTAAAAAGTGGAGAGGTATAAAGAATAAAGCTTAAAGAAAGCCAGTGTGTAAACTATATTGGCAAAGAGAACTGTAATATTCACTCAATAAGCTCAATAAGTGTTAATACCAGTCAACGGTTTAATTTCTTTTCCTTTCTTATCTCATTAAGTGCTTATATCACTCCTAAGAGGATGTTATTATTATTCCAGTTTCACAGATGAAATAATTTAACATCAAAAAAATTAAATAACTCACTCAAGGTCAAAAGTCAGGGCCAAGATTTAACATATAAGCTCTCAGGCTCGTCTAAGATAATTTGCCAGCTCCCTAGTGAAGAGAGATTGAGAAGAAAAAGAATGGCAGAAGTAAAATCGAAGTAGTTCAATGTTATAAGGACAAAAGTAAAGGAGAACATTTCTAGAAAATATGAAGCCAATAATGTCCAATATATTGTGTAGTGAAAAACGTTTTGAGTATCTATTTAGACCAGTGTTTCTCAAGGGGACAATTTTGCTTCGCAGGAGATATTTAACAATGTCTGGAGACATTTTTAGTTGTTAACATTGAGAGATACACTTTGTTGTTGTTGTTGTTTTTATGTGTGTTTTTTCCTAAAGATATATAGTGAATAAGGGCCAGGGGTGCTGCTAAACATCCTACAATGCACTTGAAAACCCCCACAACAAAGAATTATTTGGCCCCAAATGTCAGTGATGCTGAGGTCTGGAAACTCTGCATTAGATTATATAGATTAACATTCACTTAATCTTTCCAAGCCTCTATTACCATATTTGTAAACTTGCATAATAATACCTACTACTTCAAAGAGCTTTTGAGCAATGTCAAAAACTCTTTGAAATATGTGAAACCACTTTGTAATGATACCTAAACATTACATTAAAATGTCTATTCCTGGATAATGAAAATATTTAAAGGCCCTAAATGTGATGAGTGTGTCAATATTAAATAAGAAAGTAGATTTCAATTGGTTGAAAAGAAAAGGATGGGAAGCAGTGAGTAAAGACTATTGTTGCAACCAGCATGAAAGTAGAGGGTGACCTTTCAAGGGTTTAATAGAATCAAGGAAAGACTTTATTAAATTCTTTTCTAGAATTGGCAAGATGATGTGAGCCAGTTTGTAGAATGAAAGATGGACATCTTAGTAGAGGAGAGAGTAAAAATGTGGATGAAAGAGGTGCTAGTTGCTGGGTGTGTGGTCTTTGAAGGGATGGTTCATTAAAGAGGCCTTCACCAAGGAAGGAAGACATATTTTTTTTGTGTGAGACAAGAAAGGTGGAAGAAAAAACAGGTGGCAACGAAAATAAATTTTAGAGATTTTTTTGACAAGTGGTGAGGTAGGACACTGAAACATTTTAATAGGAAGATCTCAACTTTCTTAGGACAGTTGAAGACAATATCATCTTCTCAGGTGAATGAAGGGAAATGGGATTAATTTGAGTTCTTGGAAATGAAGAGATTTGGAGTAGCCGCTGTGGGAGTTGTGGTTGGGGATTAGTAGCAAATGAGTAAATGGATTGCCGAAGAACCATAAAGCCTACCGAGGTTGTTCAGCATGGATTTGTAGGAGACTCTATAATATTATTTTTATCACAGTGGTACATAGATATTGAAGGTATCAGAGGGAAGAGATAAGGTGATTGATGTTGGCACTGAAAAAGTTTTCAGTCTGAGATTTTGAAAGTGTGACTATTCAGAATGCTGCTTACGTGCCAGATTTGGTCATAATGGTGAGGTGGCTGAAGAGGCATTTAGATGTTCACAGTAGCCAGCATGTTGGAGGGTCTTCAAACCAGGATGTCAGGTGAACACGTACATTGAAGTCTCTAAGACTGTCACGCAGAAATGTGATGGAGAGAAATACTGAGCAGGTTGCTGAAGTTCAGGTGGAAGAGATCCTAGATATTGACACAGGCAATAAGTGGATGGTGGGGACCTACAGTAGAGGCAACTTTGCTGAATCATAATAGCAGAATCATATTCTGGAAGCAGCACTGAAGAGCAAATCGAAAAATTTTCTCTCTCCTGGTGTGTGAAAGGAAGTGGAAAGGAGCTAGGTCCTATGGGAAGTGCTTTGGTGAAGACTGTGTCTAAGTAAAGGTGGCTTTCAGTTGATGTAAACTTTTGACTGAAATATTTTTGGGAAAGGTTTAACGCATAAGATACATAAATGACTATTTAATAGAAGCTCCATGGAATGGCAGTAGGGGCTTGGAAGGAACGACAATTAGTACAGAATTGCAAAGTTTCAGTAGCTAATTGGGTTGACAGTGAGAACGTCTGAAAGATGACTTGTGGGAGAAGTTTGGGCTCAGTGTGGCAGATGAAGGCATTGGTGGGAGTTCGGAGGTATTTGTGAATGCCAGGGAGGCTGATAATGACAACATAGTCTGACCCCAGTGGCTTAGATAATATGTCTGTGTGGTAAATCCACTAAGATTTCCTGCCCCCTGATAGCGCCCCTTCAATACCTACTGGTGGGGGAGTCAGCACATGAATAAGTCATAGGCTTTAGTATATTAAGTTCCTGACATTTGTATATACAAACATATACAGATATCCATCTTTCTATCTATATGTATATATAGATATGCATGTATTATATATGTGTATGTACCTGTGTGTATATGTGTATATGTGTGTTTGTGTAAGTATGTGTATCCTTGGTTCAACCCTACCTCCAACCCTTTCCCAAATGGATAAAAATCAGACCTATGAGGAAATTCTATTTGTCTAAAAATAGCAGCTAGCAGTTTGTTCACTGAAATATTTTTATGCAATTTGAATTACTTGAAATAAATATGGCTGTGTTCATAGAGCAGAACAATATTAATCATAATAATAAAAACAAATTATACAATTTCCTGAATAATGGGTTCATTTTGCTTGGGCATATCTATCCATTCCATCCAGGGTAGCCTATAACCACACTAATCATATTTCAATTCAGATGTATCATTAAAGTAATCATACTGGATAATTTGGTTATGAAAAATGAGATTAGATTATCTGTAGCTTGTATAACATTAGCAGTTTAAAAATAAAAGTGTGGTTCATAGAAAAATTGATTATTTCAATCTTGTTTTCTTTTCTGCTATGTTTGGTACATAGCATCTGAGCAGTTACTTTGAAGAATGTGAAAAATAACTGCCCCTTTGAAGCAAAACCACTAGATTCACTGAGAATAATTAGGCCTACATTTTCAGATGACTGCAATTGGTACAGCCATAGATATAGAGGAAGCCATTGTTCTCATATTCTCACGTACAGATTGAGCAATTGAGCATGCAAATTGCAAATTGAAAACTAGGCCTGAATTGACAGTATCTATATAAATGCATACCATCCTTCATTCTCGTTTGTGTACTTTAAATGTTGGTTTTAATAAGATCAAGGCAAACATGTTCAATTGGCAAGTGTATTTTATTTCCTAAAATATTAAAATCCCCAAATTTTAAGTGAAGATTTATTTGAAATATCTAGCAGTGAATCTTATTTATTCAATTTTTTTTGACTAATATTTAGGAAAGTCAGGGATCACTAATAACACTTTTGAAGGATAAGTCTGTGATGCCTACACATGTAGTTCTCTAAATTGGGCAAGTAAAATAATATGGTTTCTATAGTAATGTAAGCAGAATAGATTAGTCACAATTCAGTTTAGATTCAGCTTACACAAATATTAGACTGTGTGTCTCAGAAAGAGCAGAAATAGAAAAGATGTATTAAACCTTTACAATATTTGAACACTAGCACTTTCCTAAAATCATTACATGATGACATATAATGATTTTTGTTTAAAAGACAATTTATGTTTTCAAAAATTGGTTTACGTATATTTTTAAAATTTATTT